ACATATGTCACAAACTCAAACAAGTAGTTCTGGCTTTTGTGCTACCTGTACTGACTTCAGTGGTTATGTGCTCACCGTTGCCAGTGCAGTTGCTATAGTAATTGGAGCGATCAGCTACCCCGATTTCCTCACTGTCAAGGGTCAATTGGTCCTCATGTGGTTGCTGGTCCTGTAACAAAACTTTGCTTGCCAATTGATGGGCACTGTCGGGATTTTACTTCATGTTTACTGGGCCTCCCTACTATTGTTAAACAACAAGGCAATGTCGTCCGCATAATCAGACTCTACTAGCTTTCCACCAGTCACCTTCTCAACGTCTTCGTGACATTCCACAAGAGAACACGCAATGCTGGAATTCACGACGAAGTTGAATAAATATGGGGAAATGTTTCGGAATACTGGTAGCTCGGGTTGATGATTCAATTGCTCATTTGTTCTCTGAGCTTGGAGAACAAATAAACGATTGAAATATGGGGAAACCTGAACAACCCCGACGAACGCTACTTACTTCCGGAAAGATATTTGATTACTCACCGTGAACCCTGACGCGGTCTGTCATGTTCGAGTGTAGAGCACATAAAATTTCACATATTTCAAGGGAACACCTGCACACAAGTATTTCGAACAGAATACATCGATCGACTGAGTCGAACGCACTCCTGAAGTCGAGAATCCCAGTTATTGTCGGTCTGCGGTCTGCATGACGCTGCTCTAGCACCTGCTGCAAAGTAAATATATGGTCTATACAACCCCGTCCCGAGCGGAAACCTGCATGCTCTTCCGCAATCCGGGATTGTCGCTTTGCAGTGAAGTGACGAACGAGAGTCGTGGTCAGTAATTCTGTCACCACTGGCGTTAGGCCACTGCCTTTGTGGTTAGCACAGTCGGTGCGGTTGCCGTTCTTGCAACCATACTCGATACAGTCCAGTTTAATGGGACGATCTTTTCCTTCCAAACCTGTTTGAACGGGGATGTCGGTGCTACGCACAGGTCACCACCATCCTTAAATATTGCGGGTGCGCGGGAATCCGGGCCAGTAGCTCGAAATCGATTAAGGTCTGTGATCAGTTTTCGGACTTCAGCCTCTGATGAAGCCTCTAAACTAACCGGCGGTGGGCCAGCCTGCGTAAGCTGAGTAGGAAGATGTCCGGAAGCAGGGGGCAACTTAACTGCTCTCGAAAGTACTCCGCTGAACCAGCCATACAATGATCGTTATTTTGAATAATGGTACGTGCGCTGTCTCTGATAGTCTCACTGATATTTGCTTTCATGGGTCCACTGTTGCGGATCGGTTGGAAAAGCTTGTGATAATTGCCTACTGCTCCCATCTTTTTCATTTCTTGAACTCTGCTGGTCCACCAGGCTTCTTTGTTGGCCCGCTGGCTCTGCTTATAGTTCGCGTCTAATAGTCCCTCTGATTACATTGTGCTCAGAGCCAGTCGGGACTTTTCTTCTGGATTCCAATAAGTTTCCTGACATCGGATGTCCAGTGGTTGTTGCGGTGACGATTGCTAGGACTGCAAGTGGAAGCTCTAGTATTGTGCCCGGCAGCTAAGATCTTACTAAGGCCAAATGTCATTAAGACGAGAAAGAGAGAGACTTTGGTACGCAGAGCATGCTGGTAAGCTTGCATGATCGAGGACTGAGATAAATTTTCCGTTACCAATTGAGGGGGCGCTTGATACGTCTCCCGTTGGTGTTCATGGAAAGCATCCGCGTAGGGGCGGCGTCCTCGCCGTAGACTCAGCCCACGCGCGACTGGTGATGGTCGATCTGCGGCGAAGGACCGTTTCGACATACAGCTGGCAATTTATTTATTTTATTCATGAAAAGCGACAGCGTATCTCTGAAACACTCATTCGCCACTACAACTTCCCAAATAATGTTACATTATCGTCAGTTGCATTCTTCTCGACTCCTGGAATACCGTAGCGATTTTTAGGTGTGTTTACGTTTTCGGTGTTGCATTCACTCGAAAGTTTGAGTGCAATTTTCCAGAGTGAATGTCAGCGGTCAACTGGATTTGCTTTATTCGAATTTCCATAACTGTTAGTGAGCTCCATCAGAAGGCGACTTACTAGTAAACTAATGTTCACTCATGCAGCTTCTAAATACCGTGTCGTATTTAACTGCTGACTAGAGTGTAGCTTTGTCCTCTGCAATGTGGGTAATCTGCATGGCAGCAGAGGATGTGTCGCACTTTCTCGCAGTTAGCTTATAAAACATGCCTGACTACCGCTATCCCGCGTAGCATCGTAGCATAAGCTGCTGCATCCTGACACGGGCCTCTTCTGTCGAGAGATCTTGGTCTCGGTTTCTGATGGAGCCGGGGGACACGCTCTATCGACGGTCCCAATAATGGTTGTCATGCTTTTCTCGACATATGAAAGATACTGCAGAGAACCCCCCAGTTGACTACATCAAAAATCTACTCCCTCAGGTCACTTATGAATTTTTCCATACCGGTGTTTGGTATTTCTAGCAATCAGAAACTCATTTGTTCTACGACGTATATCATCTTCAATAATGTACATTTTCTCATTTTAAAGCACGAAATGAGCATTTGAGAGCTAACCCCGTGTGGTCCAAATTCTACAATTTCATCACAAAGCGTCTTATTATCATTGCGGGATCGCACAGTCTCTATTTAAACGCTGAATTTATGCAACACTTGGAACAGTGGCTACCTGCAAGGTATTCACAAACATGACCAGGCCATTGAGTGCTGTAGGTGGAATGAACTTTGTAGCAGCCCTTCACATTCAGCTTTGTCACTGGAGGTGCGTTATTTCCCTAAGTCATTATAAATGTAGTTGTTTACGGCGTTTTTCATCCCTACATATATCTCGGATTTGTTGAAAGCATACGAAATATCACAACTTTTGTGAATTTCTACATTTGCATCTACCCAGCCCTGTCATTGACAAATACTCTATATTGCATAGAACTCTGTTTCCAGTGCAGATTGTAGCTACCCCTCACATTTTGACACGGTTGCTTACTTGGGATTTTGAATATGTTTTATGGCGCGCCGTTTGTGTTGTCAGACGTTTCATTAAGCGCTAACGGGGTACCTCGGCACCACTTGCCTATTCATGATTGGAAAGAAGACCATTTGATAGTGTTACTACGTTGGCTTCTTCTGAATCCCCATTCGCTATGATGAAGGTATAATCAGATGCCGCTCTGCTGGAGACAACAACAATACTTTATCGCCTTATCCCTGCCGATACGTCGATGTGCGTTTCAACTGTGCTCCCTCTCCTTTCAGGCAGGTCTTCAAAGCAGCTTGGTCAGGTGAAACGGGCATCATCCTGACTGGCATGCATACAGCATCAAATTGATACTCTCTAGACATACCCGTTGTTCCCACTGAGGTTGCCGAATAAATGGCGCATATGTCTACTAGCTGTTGTTCACTATCTATTCCATTTTTCTTAGAGTCATCATTTTTACTTGGTTTATCTACACAGTCTGCATTACTTGCTTCCAGGGTCTCTTGACTATCTTTCCATACCTCTCATCTTGAATGTCTCTTGAACAGCGAGATGGTGGCACAGTAAACTGATCTGAGTAACCCGATAGCAAATCTTATCTGCGTTGGTTTTTGCAAGCCTCCTATCTAGAAGTCCTTTTTTGTCGTTAAGGGAGTAGAGATGTTGTTTTCAACGGTAGCAAAAACAGCTAGAGGCGGTGTCGCAGTTCGTCTCTTCAGCGTCGAACTGCTCGTCTTTCTGTTCCATGATTCTACCATCTTTAAAGCGTTTTTGGCAATTTCGTTGTCTCCTTCCACTTTTCCTCGCTTCACTTGTTCCTCTTTTTTGAGTAAGGATTTTCGTTGCGATACATCACTCCACATTGCACTTCAGCATCTTTCCCAAAGTTTGTGGGTTGAACTGAATTGCTGCAGGGTTGACATCTAATTAATTTTACCGTCTGGTGAGAGCGAATTCTCGACATTCTTCTCCACTACCTTTGGACTACACAGACCAACGGATTTTTGTGGAGTGCAGAATCCCGGGATACCTGCATTGGCTTTTTATTATATAACGTTGACGTGCTGCTTTCTTGTCTTCAATATCGGTCTCCCGGTGTTCCAGTGCAGGCAGCGCAGCTTCCGCTGAATAGGTATTCACGAATGAGGACTCTGTTTTCCCCACAGCACAGTCAAGCGGTGCTGTCGCATTCGTTCCCCGAAGTCTCAGACGCTGAAGATTTAACTTGCGGCTCCTCCCTTTTTGAATTATTGTAATCATAGTGACGAGCGTTTAGGCAATTGGATGCGCTGCACTTTGGTGCACTGATCAACGTTGATACATTGGACCGCAACGACAAGTTGTCTGCTCTCGTTTACCGGTGACTAGTCGCGCACTCCTGCTCAAAATGAGCATATCTTCTCAACCGTACTGTGGAGTACCCGTCGGATTGGCGAGAGGTTTTTGTTCGGCTTGATGTTGTTCTCGTGTGATTATTGCACCATTATTTTAAATCTAGTCTCTTGAATAGGGGTCGGAAGAACGATTAACACATTTGACTGTATGCACTAGCTGACATGGCGAGGAGCCGACCGCAATAGCGTTTGTACTGTGAGTCTCTGTCCATCCTCTCCCCTTTGCCTCCCCCCTCCAACCTCGATCTCAAGCCGAATGCATAATGTGCTTTTGCATTATGTTACTTTTAGCGTTTGTACTCTGTATCGTTTAATCTCTTTTTTGGATCGTGGCACATTAGTTGAGGGGTGTCTCTCACTCTCGGTCAACGTGTATTGATGATGTGAAAGGGATGCCAATAACTTTGCAGTAAGAACGTCCAACGTGGACGGTCTATTTTCAAGTAAATATCGCTGGCCTTCCCTTGACATGAGTCCAAACACTTCCGTACTACACCCGCAAGATAACAACCTTGTTTTTTATTCAATCTGCTTTCATTTTCTAATTATGAGATCTTTTTCCTTTTCTTAGCATTTAAGCATTTTCTTGCATATTCTCTTCCAATTTCAGCAAACCTATGTCTCCTAATCAGTGGTGGGAACTGTTCGACGTCAAAGCTCAACGGAACTACTACTACAACAACAGCTCTGGTGAGACCGTCTGGCAACGACCTGTGCAAGGCGATATTGTTCCCCTGGCCAATCTGCAGGTCTGTCTTATACTACCATCACATCGTCTTGCTAACTATTGATGTTGCTACTCCTCTGCTTTCGACCCATTTTCATAGCACTTTTCCGTGGGGTTTTGGCAAGCGTGATTAAGCGGTCAAACCGGACATCAGCTTTTTGAATTACTTCTCGTTGCTCTCTCCAATCTGTTCTCGCTTGGTGGTCTTTCACATCATAGTTTCATTTCCATTTGCCACGATAGGGTTTAATTAGCGTACTTTTTCGGAACACTACCGTTTCCCCTCACATTATATTCGTGTGCTTCCATTCGCACGCTGTCACTTCTGTGTGCGCCTTGCCAACCCATTCGCACGAACTACTCACGCCACACGCGTGACCTGTGATGCTTTTTACTTCCGTTGTGCTGCTCCGCTTGACGCTTTGGTTATTTTACATTTCACCTCACTGTCCCGTAACCACCTGAGCCAACAGTCTACGGGTAGATATGGGGCTATTAAAGACCGTGAGAAATAATGGAAGCTACAGTTACCGTAACATAACCAAACATAGCACTATTTATTTTGACTTCACTTGAGTGGAGACATCCATTGAAGCCCATTGGACAGGATGAGTCGCGTCTCATAGAATCAGACCGTTGGTACCTCCTTTTCTATCTGACCACAGTAAATCTCCTTAGCTCACTTATTCATTATCTTGACAGATTCACACTATTGTTAATGGAAGTCTGTTTCCGTCCTGGCTCGCTACATTTTGTTCTCCGGACTAGCCGGGTATGTGCATGTGGACGGCAATATTCGTCTTTGAATTATGTCTGGAGTTGGCTAAGCAACTCTCATCTTGTATCGTTTCTTTCATCCTTGACCAACTGGACACTGTCAATTTTTGACCACTGTGTTGTGTTTTTACCTTATCGGCTTCTTTCCGAATGGAACATCTAAAGTTCGCACCTTAGACTCCCATAGGATAATATGAAATGGACTGCCTAATCTTTATCTGCCACACCCACTGTGAATGAACCATCACCCTCCGACCCATTCATCTGGACAAAACCGAGTGGGAGCAAAGCGCTTCACCTATGGGTTGCCAACTTTGAAAGCCTTTCTATTCGTCACGAACAGCTAACAGCTTCGATCCTAACTATTCTGCTTCTCCTTTGCTAGCTAGGTTACACCGGATTCCCGTATTTTAGCTCTGTTTCTCGGGTGTCCTTCACCATTTCGCGCGCAGTAGATGAAAACCAATCTCCATCCTTGTGTTACCGTTGTATAGGAATTAATCTCCGACTCCAGCTAGTGAGTTGTGTTACACAATGAACCGTGTTGCACTTCCATTTACCCCACGGCTCGAGCACTGATGCGATGGACACGGTCAGTTCATCCTCTCTATGTCAGCTAATCCATTGTTGCCACCTCGCGTTAACAACCTCCACTGCATCAGAATGATGATTTTCTGATGTGATGCTTTGGGCTTGAAATCACGTTGCATTGCTGACAATCGCTGATGTGCAAACTAACCTTCACCATTCTTTTTCCGTATGCAATGACTGCAATCGCGGTACGGTTTTATCAACCTTTAAGCACTGCGATCACGAATGGCAGAACCAGTGCCTTCCTCCTTACAAACACTCGGTGAAGATTTAATTCTTGACTGGAATCCCTTTCTATTCTAAACCTTTCAACAACCAGTTGTATACGCTAAAACGGAATTCTCGCTTGCGCTCCTCAGAAGTGCAGTCCACGGCTGCTGTTCACCATATCTCGTCTACTTTTATGCGTTAATTTTGCTCCCTGGTAGTTTTCTTTGGCGCGGTCATCGATGGTTCCTATACGATACTGACCGTTGCCTGAACGCCTTTATCTTGTCATCGGTTCGGAGATGGGCGGTGTCTGAGACTTTTTTCAGGGTACGTTGCTCTACAGTCTAGGGGAAATAACATTGAAAAGTTGATCAGACTGCTGTTTTGCGGCAACCTCGGAGTCCAGGGTGTTTTGACCTTTATGCACCACAAAGCACGGCCCGTTGTTCACCGGAACTCATCGTTGGGTAAGATAAGCGTGCGAGTATTCCCACATGATTTTTCTAACGGCCGCTCCCCACCCTATGAATGGATTGTCGCTGCCGCTGTGTCACGGGGACTCTAACCTTTCATCATATTGGCTTTTCTGTCCATAAATCACCGTCCACTACAGTGTTGCATTCACTTGTCCTATAATTCATTGTCTGAGTTCCATTGTACCACCTAGTTTTTGTTGGAATTTTTCTTAACGTAGCACAGTTTCCAGTAACTCATTTACCTACACTTCTCATCCATTAACGGAGTGATGATATATGGCGATGTGATTTCACGCACCACCGCGATAATATAAGTGAGAACGTTGATGCGAAACGGAAGAACACGAATAAAACTAAGAAATCAGAATGTGTCTCGTCGGTCTTTGGGAATCATATCTTTTCAGAAGCACTCTTTGAATGGCGCTGGCACAACGTCATCTAACGCTGTTGCTTCCAGCCACTCGTCCTCCATTCTGGCAATCCTCACCAGGATACAATTTCTGTGTTGACATCACAGCCATTTTCTTATTGAACTATACAGCATAATCTCATGCTTCTGTGCAACAGCTGATTGCCTAAGCTCGAAGTAAACTTCCCAACATGAGAGTGATGTCGCTCTTTTTCCCACGAGAACCTGCCTCTCGACATGTGTAAACACCAGCTGTGTTTTGTTCTCAGTCGCGTTTATCCGCGACCGCACACATTCGACTTGCTTCGTTTTCAACTTACCCCACTGCTTGCGTTCCGATTCGAAGGTTGTCTACCGAAGGCACAATTTCAGTTGATTGTTCTGTGATATTTTCTCCGTACCTGATTATAACGTGACTATTCTACACCCATTGTCTCCAACTTTATTTCTCTTCCGCTTTACACTGTCATCCGCAGGTCCTTCAGCAAAACCTTCGGGGGCTCCCAGCGAACGCATCAACTGTGAGTTCATTTGCTTAGTTTTTATTCACTGATTCTTTCCTGCATACTTTTTTCACCACACCTTGTTGATTTGGTCAGTGACCTTGAGGCCGGTCATCTTAATCGGTGTCTTATTCCACCTACTTTTCATCGTTTTACACCAAACCTCTATGTCTCTGTAGGCGGTATCTGTTTGAGTACTGACCATGCTCCCCAGGAAAATCAATTCACAACTCAGTTTTCTGTCTCTCCACAGTTGACATTTACACCCCGAATTTGAAGCGGGCACCAAACGTGACGTCCGTGCAAAGCAACTTGATCCACCTCATATCAAAATACGGATGTGTGCTGCATGTTACACACAATGCCCTACCATCGGCTGTACTAATCTCCACGAGTTGTTCAACTTAATTCAGTTCAGTTATCCATCCATACGCTCTGTGCACCAGGGTGTGGCGGTTTGGGGGATTTTTCAGCTACGCAACCAAACGCTAAATTCACCGTGGCATCACCATCATCATCATCAATACACGCTAGTCGTGGTCGAAAAACACCTCAGCTAATTTGCCGTAATATAAAATGATAAGAGCTTAAACAATGCATACAAAAACTACCAAAAGTAACATAATGCTAAATGTCATTATGCACAGGGTTTGAGCTCGTTGTTGGATGGGGAAGCTAAAGGGAAGGGGAGAGACAAAGAGATTCACAAAACAAACGCCATTGAGGTCGACTCTTTTCCATGTTAGCTAGTTTATCCCACATCCTTCGGACTCCAGCTTCGCAGTCGGGAAACACCAACCGACGCCAAGTTCGAAGTGTGGGTTTTCATTCTTCTTAACCAAGTCATCGGCTGGCCTACCCTCCGCTTCTTCCATCCAGACCCCGGTCGCACAAACAACTCCCGATACGGGAGTCAGTGTGCGCTGCCATGCGCAACACGTGGCCCAGCCATCGAAGTGTGGTGCTTGTTATAATGGTGCTGGACGGTTCACTCGCTCTTCTTGCACCATATACACGACGCTGAACACGCTCATTGCTCACGCGGTGTTCCCACCAGATGTGAGCTAAGCGGCGAAGGCGGCGATGATCGAACGTGACTAGTCTTTTTGTGTCTGTCAACTCGATGAATCAGGTTTCACAACTGTACAGGAGAGTTGTACAGACGGCTGCATTGTAAACTGCCCTTCAGAGCGAGAGTGATGTCACGCAGCGCCACAGATGGCGGAGATTAGCACAATCGCATGGGGCTTTTACTATAAGTTTCGTGACCTTATCTCCAATCCAGAGGGCGCTGATATAGCTGCTCAGATACTCGAATTTCTGTACGACTTCTGGCTGATCAGCACCAAGGGTCAGCGTAGGAGTGATTCCCTGCCAATCTTGGAGAAGAACTTTGCATTTCGAGGGTCCAAAGCCAGAGCTAATTTATTCAGTGCAACTAGGCATGTTCGGGAGTTGTCACAATTGAGCACAATGTCATCGGCATACTCCAAATTAAGAAGTCGATCACCAGGGAGCAGCGCCACACTTAGTCTTGCCCGGCTACCACCCTTTCGATGACTTCGTCAGTGACGAAGTTGAAGAGGAAAGGTGACAGCGGAAAACCTTTTTCACACCGCTGGAGATATTAAACGGCGGTAAAAATGTCTCATAAACCCTCACTCTGCTCCAACTATACTCGTACAGCGATCTTATGACACATATTCCTCAAGCACACCTTTCCTGAGTAGACTGTCCCAACGGGCACATACATCTACCGAATCGAATGCCCCTTCGATGTCTAGGTACACGACTACGGTGAGTGGCTAGTAAACATGGCGGTGTTCCAACAATTGACGTAATGTGAAGATGGGATCAATACAGCCGCGACTGCGACGAAACCCGGCTTGCTTCTCGCGCATCTGGCTTTCACGAGTTCAAGTTAGTCTATGGAGGACGACAGAGCCAATTGAGGTCAGTCTGATTCCTCTATAACTGCCGCATTCTGAACGGGAACCTCCCTTATAATAATTGCACATGAGGTAATCCGGCATAAAGGCGTTTAGAAAAACGTAAAATCCTGTTGTAACATTGCCAGCGTAGCAAGAGACCAAGTGCAATCGTGGCACTGATCTCGCGGCTTCCCCGGGCCCTAACACCTGATGTAACCCATCTCGAACTCCTAGGCAGTAACAAAACATACAACAGACAAAATGCGTCTACCACCTGGGTGATACAAACCTATTGGGCTATCACCTAACGCAGCCTCAGCTCCGTAACGAACAGAATCGATTGAATAGCTCATGTTCATTTCGGTTGCATGGTTGTATGGGGGATATGTGGTAACTCAGACGCACTTCTTGTCGTAGGTAGCTCAAATTTGAGCTTCCCACAGATCCTCATACAATCTCTTTAGTCGCAATGGATAGGTTTGAGCATATGAGGGAGGTTTCTAATGCGCCTTTTAATGAAAAAATATTCTGAGAGCAGGCACAGTCAGTCCGATTCAAGTTCGCCTTTAAGTTTGAGAAAACAATCACTTTGGAGCGTGGTTCCGTTTAACCACCTAACGAACAATAAACCGCCGTGAATGCATTCACTCCCTGGGCAAAATCAAGCCTGTCTTCCATGCGTTCGACTTTTGTCGGGAGCGGTGCGCTGTGGTCATACAATGCTTCTGAACAATTTGGTGCTTGTCGTGCGGTTGCCACTACTTAGTTAGATATCGAACGAGCTTTTGTAATGTTTTAAGATGACCATGTTAATGAATGATCTCTTCTTAGAAGTACTCTTTCGTTTCTCCGATAGTATTGAGTAGAAAAAGCAGACCGACCACATTTAGCCACATCCGTTTTTCGGCAACGAATGGGAGTGGTAGTTTCGCCAAGACCTATTGTTTCGCTTCAGCACCTCAAGTCCACTTCGAATGCCGGTATTCATGACATAAGCATCCCAGGGGGGCTCTGGATATTTGACTGAGAGAATTGGTCCTCGACATGCCCCATTCAACGTTCATGTCGGCGAGCCATAGAACTTTTTGGTGTTCTTTTCACTAACTGTTGCGTTTCTCAGCACCTTGCTTCAGATACTGTGGAGTAGGAATTTAAGGTTTTTGGTACCACACCAACCTTTTCCATCTTCCCGGTTTTTGCTATACACTAACACTGCTGATCCATTCAGAATCTCTCAGTCGGATATCGCTTCACGTTATTGGGAGCACCATAAAATTGACCACAATGTTCTTTCACACAGACTAATAGACGCTTTATCCGGTGTTTCTTGCTGATCACTTTAGGTAACTAGCAGTTTCAGGGGCTTGTTTGACGGTTCAATAAAGGCGATTTCAATTGGTTTTTAGCTCATTCGGAACCTTTATCATTAATAGATGGCGTTCCAAGTAAGCTTATTATAGTTCCTTTGCAAAATTCAAGCATAGTCGATAGCCAAGCACTCCAGAACTTAGATGCTTCCTTGAGGCCGGGAGATTGAACTCGATGCGTAAACGCTTTTAGGCAGGATCGGGGTCTGAATATTCTGGGTCTACGGCTAACCCAGCCTCAGTGTATGTCCTCAGTAATTGGTGTGGCGATGCTACAACTATGTGCACAGGACGCTAGTGATGCATTGCTACTTTTTAATTTGGCAACCGGTGCTCTTGATGTCATGCTTAAGGCCTCCACCTTGTTTCACATGCTGACTGCTGTTTCGAGATGCACACAGATCCCGAACTACTTCTTAGTGGTTGCTCGAATTTCCAACATGCGGCCCGCCCACATCATCATCATCATTGCGCGTAAGCTCACGCTGGAAAACACTTCAGCTGTTTTGCCGCAATACATAGGGATTATATATATATATATATATATATATATATATATATATATATATATATATATATATATATGAAAAAGTGATAGACTAAACATTAAAGAACACAAAATAAAACCCAAAACATGTAACCTAGTGCACAATATCATAGTTATTCCTTACCAATTCCAGTCGAATTTCTAAAGGAATCCTTACTTCTGTGTACAGCGAATGTTGGCTTCCACTTTCAGAACACCCCTATATCGTCAAATCGATGGTGTGGCAATGGGTAGCTCACTAGGCCCTGTATTTGCCGATTTCTTCATGCTGATTATAGAAAGAGGCATATCCACAGAAATAGCCCAGTTACCATACTATAAGCGTTATGTGGATGACATATTGGCCTTTTGTTCATCGGAGCAGCAGATTGTCCAGTTGATGCAACAACTCAACTGCGCACATACCAACTTGCGGGTCACCTGCGATGTGAAACAGAAGAACTATCTGCCATTCTTAGACATCCTCATCAGTCGCACGGATAACGGGCTCATTAATAGGTCTATCTACAGAAAAGCAACCGGGTCCGGCCAATACCTGCACTTCACCAGCTTCACACCAGTGCAGTACAAGCGGACCCTTGTGAAAACTTTAGTTAGTCGTGCTAGACGAATTTGCTCGGCTGATTGTCTAGCCGACGAGCTAGAGTTAATTACAACAACACTCATTGCAAATGGTTATCCACATAGATTTATAGAGAGACACAGCCAACAACGAGGCCCGAAAGACTTGGTGCATACGGCAGCCAAGAAAAAAAACTATATCGAGTTGCCTTTCAAGGGTGACTTTAATGTATTGAAAACCACGAAACGTTTAATCTCTGCTACGCAGAGAAGTTACTGTGCTGCTCAGGTTGTGGTCATCAATAGAACCTGTAACTTGCCGGTGCCTCCAACGAAGGAAGCTCAACCGATAGGGGCCAACTCACACTGCATATACAAATTCGTATGCGACTGCGGAGATAGTTACATAGGCAGAACCAATCGGTCTTTGACTTCCCGAATAAAGGAACACGTGCCAAGGTGGGTTCAACGTGAAATTGACCAGCATCCATGTCCCACTGAAGTTCCTTGCTTGCGCAAGCCGCCAGCTTCCTCAATAGGTAAACACCTACTGACTACGCGTCACCGGATAGAGCTCGGATCAGCGTTCACACTTGTACTACGTCACCCTAA